ATCTCCCCCCACATTACGGGTGGGGCATGTTAGTTGTTAACGATGCGGTGCCCATTCCATGGGCAGAGGACTTCCGCTGCAAGGCCGTCGATCTGGCATCTTTCACCAGCACCAAAACAAAATGAGACAGAGCTATAAACCTTAAGGGAAACGGAATCCTCCCACTGCTTGTTTCTCATACACCTGTTGTGTGTTGCCATAATCTACAGGGTGAGCTCTTTGGGACTGAGTGTCTTTGAACTGCCTGTGGGTCTGGCGCTTAGCACACTGGGACCCTGACCCTTGGTTGGCACCATCTGCTACTGCAATACATATTAATAATACTAGAGGCCATTTCATGAAAGGCGCTAGAGCTTGTGTGGTTGTGTCAGGGCTGTCTTGTCTGGCTATTGAAAGACAAGAACTCAGACGTGGACATCCCAAGCCTAGATGGACCTGAACCAAACCCTTAGATCCAAACACCCCCACCCCCCATCCCCTGACTGTGTGATAGTTCGGACCCACGTGTGAAACCTGCCACTCGCACCCACCTCTTGCATAAAATGTATTTAGACTGAACAGCATCAGTTCATCGTGATTACCCGGTTCTGTAGATATGAATAGATATAATTGTAGAATGCAGATACAATTGCAATTAGGTCTATTCAGTCTGATAACGATGCATTCAGGGATCCTGGATCTGTATATCATTCAATTGAGCTTCAATTGTTAAAACCAAATCTTGGTGTATGCTTTTACATTAAAGTCTTTGATCTACAGGAAATCTTAATAATGGCCTAAAACTCCAGCATAATCCGAAAGAGCCTGGCCTTTTTGATCAAAATATACCCCAAACATCTAATTCTGGGGGTGCTTTTAATGGGATAGGGAAAACCTCTCCCCAAGGCCTTTCCCTTTAGCCCTTCAGTATGGCGTGATGCGCAGCGGTTCTCTTTCCAGGAGCAATGGGAAGGAATGGTGTCTCAGTCATACATATAGTAAGAGACAGTCCTCAGTGGATGTCGTTTGGGGTTTAATTACCTTTATTAATATCATAGAATTATTTCAGGCTCATTAATAAAAGATTATACACACTACCAAACACTAGGCAAAATATGTTAAACATATAACCAGTCACTTCCTCAAAGAGTTTAAAATCTAAGGCCCTGATGCTGCAAACATTTATGCACATGCTTCACTTTAAGCCCAAGTGCTTGCAGAACTGGTCCTTAAGGCATGAGGAGCTACAATCCTGCAGGGTACAGAGTCCTGGGCAGGCAGAGTGGAGAGTGTACAGGGACTGGAGCTGGAAGGGAACATGGAATAGCTGGGTGCAGGGCCAGCTCCAAGTTTTTTGCCGCCCCAAGCAAAAAAATTTTCCCGCGTCCCCCCGGCCTCGCCCCAACTCCGCCCCTTCCCCGCCCCATTCCAACCCCTTCCCCAAATCCCCAGCCCCGCCTCCTCCCCTGGGCGCGCCGCATTTCCCCTCCTACCCCTCCCTCCCAGGCTGGGAGGGAGGGGGGAGAAGCAGAGCGGCGGCGCGCTCGGGGGAGGAGGCAGAGGTGAGCTGGGGGGGGGAAGCAGTTCCTCTGCCCCCCCAGGGTTACTTCCTGCGGCCCTCCCTGCACCCCCCACCGCCGCAGCTCACCTCCACTCAGGGCCGGCTCCCAGCGCCCGAAGGGAAAAAAAACAAAAAAAAAAGGAGCCGGAGTGCCGCCCCTTGGAGAGTGCCGCCCCAAGCACATGCTTGGAGGGCTGGTGCCTAGAGCCGGCCCTGGCTGGGTGTTTGAAAGGTTATTGAAGGGAGATATATAGGCATGGGGTGCTGTTACTCAGGAGGCTGGTCTAAGCATCTGGGGGAGTGTGAAAGGCGGTCCAAATATAGGAACAGGAAGAGTAGAGAGAAGGAAAGTTTGGACAAAGGAATGAACTGGGGGTGGGCCGCATCTAAGGACAGATCAGAGCTGAGAAGTAGGTAGGACTGGAGCTTGGGTGTGCACGCCCATCAATGAACGGGGCCAGATTCTGAGCTGTGGTTGTACAGCAGATGGTGCAGGTCAGAAGTGGGGCAAAGGTAGCTTTTGAACCCCATTCCTGGAGCCAGCCTCATGCCAGGCCAGGCCCAGCTCAAGCTAGAGCAGTCCCCGTGGTCAGCTAAGTCTTTGTATTTCTAGCTTCAATATTAGTTAGTTCAGCTGCAAATGTGCCTTATTCCTTAATGGAACGCCCTACGTACTTACTGCCTGTCCGATGGGATGGCCAATGGAATGAAGGAGGTATGTGGACCATCCATCCCCTTCCACTATCATGCTTACTGCTGCCAATTGCTCTGGCCAGCAACTGAACTGTGAAAATTAAGAGGCCTCATTCTCTTTGGCTATGCAAGAGGCTATCATATGTGTGCTTGCCATCTATTATTCAGGTGCTAGATGTTGCTGTGTGCTTTACAGAATTTCAGGCTGGGTGTGGTCCCTGGTAAACAAGAGGAGACACAGCTGGAACTTGAGCTGTGTGCAAGTCTGTTCCTGCATATGTAGTTGTAGTTGCTTTCTTTAATAAATGCATACGAAGACTGACTGTGAGTCTATAGACGACGACAGGAGTAAGACACCTTCCACCTTCCACCGCACAGCTGCTTAGGGCCTACCTGTGACCCAAGAATCTCTAATGCCAGCTGGCAAGGGGGTGCAGAGGGCTTACAGAAGTCTCATGAGTCTGGTGTGTACATTCTAGTTTACCAAAGAATGTCAAAGGAAAGCTGGTGGCATGCTGGTCATTGACATCACTGTGAAATGTATGTACAGATGCTATGTAAGGAGTTCTGCATATACACTGAAAATATGTTTTGAAAGTCTGTGTCAAGGTATTTGTCACCAGCAAAGGTGAAAAACAGGTTTTCCTCCAAGCAGGAGGTAAGAAACTGCATCTCTCTATAAGGATGTATATTGAGCATTGTAAGCTAGGACTATGGATGTCCATTTACATACAAAGACAAATGTTAATGAAGAGATGTGAAGGCATCAGGAAAGGAGCACACAGGAAAACACAGGGGGTTATCCCATCTCTGCATGAAGACAATGAATTTTGGGAGTATTTCCAGAAGGCCAAAAAAACCCACCTCGGTATCCTGCACCGAGGAAGTAAACTGCATGCTTGCATTCATAAAACCGGGGTCTCGGTCAACCTTATTTGAAAATGCTGCAGCAGACTTTGGGTGAGATGAACTTCTCTGGACAGCAGGTTAACCTGTTAGTTAAGTTTAGTCTCTAGAAAGCGTATTATGATTTTGTTTTATATGTAACCTTTTGTGTATCTTTACTACCTCAGTGCTGTGATGTTCACGAAAGTGCTGGTCCTGAGTTGAATCTTACTCTGGTTCTTTGGGAACAGCAGACCCGGTAATTCTGTGAGTAGCCAGCGTCAGGCACTGGATATCAAAGTGGAACACTTCAAAGGGACTCAGCGACTGGGCTGCACCTATTGTTCAACTGCAAGGCAAAGTGAGGGCTGGCCTAGCCCAGAGGAGGTTGCTTGGATGTCTCACAGGCTGGTGGTGTTAGGGAACTGACACCCAGCCAAGCACAAGCAAGACTCCCTCCCGCTGCAGGCAGGGGATAACATGGTGACTCACAATCCTGGGTACCCCAAGAATCAGTTGCACTACCTAGCACAGCAGAGGCTGCCCACTCAATATTCCTCTCCAAGAACAAGTGGGCACAGAGGGGGCAGGGCGGGTTGGGGTGTAGGCAATGCCATGATTCTGCTTGCACAATGTACCTGCCATCTGAGCTTCCTGGGTATTGGGGACAGAAGGGGTGTGTGTGGAATATATAAGACTGATGCAGCATACATCAGCCCAGTGGAAAAGGGGCACTCTCAGAGCACTTGGGCTTAAAGTGAAGCATGTGCATAAGTGTTTGCAGCATCAGGGCCTTAGATTTTAAACTCTTTGAGGCAGGACCTGGTTATATGTTTAACATATTTTGCCTAGTGTTTGGTAGTGTGTATAATCTTTTATTAATGAGCCTGAAATAATTATGTGATATTAATAAAGGTAATTAAACCCCAAACGACATCCAGTAAGGACTATCTCTTACTATATGTATGGTCAGCACCTCTCACAATGGGACCAAGTTTCGCTATATGTATGCATGCTGCTGTAATACCAATCATTAGACCTGTGCACACGGCTGGAGTGGGATTAGCATTGTCTGACTGGGTAAAGTTAGGGCTCCTCGGTTACCTTCCTAGGTTTGGGTGAAGCCTCAGTTTTCCGCTCTGTGAAATGGGGACAGTGTTAACTGACCTCAAAGGGGGTGTTGAGACTTATTTTGTCCAGGGTTACAAAGCCCTTCAGACCCATGGATTGAGACCCGCAGTGCAAAGGGCTATTCTGTTTGATTTCAGTGCCTGACCAGGTGCTTCTCAGGGTGTATCCAACCCCCATCCCCAACTCGTGCAGTACGGAAGCAGTGTCAGGCTCCGACTGTGCGAGATGGAATCTGCCCCTTCCTTTGAGCTGCAGCTATTACTAATCATCCCCAATTGCTAGAAATAGCCCCTTCTTCCTGCGAGAGGCCTACAGCCAGTGGAGGCAATGACCCCCCCGCCCCAAGACCTTGTGGATCAGGTGCGAAGTGCTGCTGGCAAGCCTGCTGCTACATTCCCTTTGCCTTTCTTACCTCTGCCCCCTTGTAACCTAACCTGTCCCCGCTGCCCCATTTCCCTCCCTTCCCTGCAGGTGTTCAGGCCTGGCGCTCTGTTGCGCAGGGAGCCCTTTGCTCTGACATTCCTGCTGCGTGCAGCTATTTTATTTATTTATTTTTGCCCATGAGGTAGCTCTCTTCCCCCCACCCCCACCCCCATTCCCGTCGAAAGCGTGAGGGGGGGAACGGCCCCTCCGCCAAGCACAGCCCATCCCCTGTCAGCCGTCTTCCCCGGAATAAAGAGCGGGCCCCTCCTCCTGCTTCATAACTTCTTCCAACTGTGCTGAGAGTTGCACTCCAGCCAATGTGGCCGGCACGTCTCCGGTGTGGAACTACAGGAGCTTGGGGATTACGCAGCCGAACCCTTGCAAATTCCTCGTGGGACAGAGGAATTTGAAGGCTTCTGATGATTGTATCATTCCTTTACCTGGAGGGAAATCCGAGATGTGAACGTTTCACCCGGGTAAGTTTTGCTAGTACCAGTGACTGCCTATGTCTAGCGCTCTCTCTGCGTGCAATATAAATCTCTCCATGCCGTCCGTTAGGTTGCTCTTCAAACCCTCGTGTTACAGTGCAATGAACCCTGTCGTGAAAAACTCTCACAGAAATGTAGCGAAGGATTGGACGAGATAAGTGGAAAGGGATGGGGGGGGGTTGCGGGGGAATCTGCAGCCTGTGGGGTCTGGCACATTAACTTTCTTCCCAAGTTGTCGGTTTGTGGCACGCACCATGCTGATGGAAGTGCTGGGGGGGAAAGCCTGTGGAAGCAGAGATGAGTTCTTTAGAGCCTGTGTCACATTAGGATGCCGGAGGCTGCGACGTGGAGCGCGTTAGCACTGATGTCGAATGGCAGTGTCTCTGGAGTATTGTCTAATAGAAATGATCTGTGCTGCAGGGCAGGGGCATGGTTTGTTTGTGCGGCCAGGGGGTCGCCCCGTCCCCTCCCCGACTTTTCACAGGCCTATATGCTCCATTACGTCTTCCACTTTTTGCCTCCCCCCTGCTTTGCAGGCTAAACTCTAATCGCGTACGAGATGATTGAATTTCTGGCTGACAGAGAATGTTCGATATGCTGTACAACCCCCTCCCCTCCAATTGATCCCAGACGCTGCCCCTGCTGCGTGTCGAGAGTGTGGAGCCTCAGTTTCACCCCTGTGGAGAATTGCGGCCCCACGGTGCACATGCTTTCTGGGATCCCTGGGGCAGCGGTGGGAGGTGGGGAGGATACAGAGGGTTGAATGTGCGCCCAGGACGACCTCCCCTCGCTAGAACTAGGAGCTGGGTTTACTAGGCGTTCGTTCCGTTTCCAAACACGCCCAAGGTGCTGGTAAAATAACAGGTGTTGAAACCAAATCCTGGATCAAAGTCACAATAGCCACAGAGCAGCCCATAAGGCCACTGTTATCCTGATAGTCTCGTAGCGAACTAAATATTCCACCCGGCTCTAGGTGTGTGAGAGGAAATAGTATTAGGGGCTGACGTGATGCCACATGGCTTCATTCTGGCCAGGCCACGCAGCCCCTGCAATACACACGGTCATTGCACTCCTTGGGCTGAATTCTGCGCTGCCACTCGGGTGTCCGTCCGGAGTAACTGCACTGGCTTCAGGGGAGTTACTCTAGATCTGCCAAGGTGCAAGTGACAGGAGCCTCCTAGGACTTGTGACGTTCAGGGCTCCCAGCCACAGCCTGACCTCCAACTACTGGCATAATGAAGGGCTGGATTGCAAGCCACCTCCCCTCCGGCTCTGGCCACCAGAAGGGAAAGTTGGACCATGAGCTGAATTAAAGCTCGCCCATAATTGTGAGTCTGGGAATAGAGCTGGAGCAAAACGGTGGTTGAGTGTTGCCTGGGGCATCTGGTTCAGTAAAGTAACAAATCCATGCTCATCTGAAACGTCGTTTGTTCCTATGCTTTAGGCTTCGGTCACTTGGAGTTGCCCAGCAGCAGTGGGGGAAAAGAACCCAGATTCTCCTGCCTCAACAGCACAGGCTGCTACCCCTTCCACTGAAAGAGAATCTCCAGTTGCTGTTAGCAGTATAGAGCTTATGAGCCACAGTTGAGCAGTTTTGATTCCATCCAGCAGAGGGCAGTGGCGACACATGAGCCAGATCATTGTGACCGAATTAGAAAATGGGGAAGTCCACCCTTTCCCACCTAGCCATTGGAAATACTTCACCTGGGAGAATACAGTACAATTAGCATAGTAGGCTGCTATTTGTTCTAGGAGCAACACCACTGTAATATGCTGTTGTGCTGATGCTATGGAAATACCAGAAGGGTGTAAACTCCAAGGAGGGAGAGAGCTGTAGTGTGGCACAAAGGATTAAAGGGATGTCAGGAAAATCCTCCGAGCAGTGAGGCTGTGGAATAGTCTCCCGCGGGAAGTGGTGGGAGAACCTTAAAAACGAATCTGAGCAATGCACTAGTACACTTCCTGCAGGGAACAACCCTGCCCAAGACGGGGATAGAGTAGATTGATGCCCAGCTGTAGCTACTAGTTTATGGAGACTTGCCCGTCTTTGCTGTTCCATATCCCCTCCTCCTCAATCTACCTCTTGTGTCTTGTCCTCATCTTAGATTCTGAGCTCTGTGGGGGAGGAGGACTGTTTGTTGTACTGGGTTGTACAGCACCTAACACGAGGGGACCTTGATCTCCTGCAGAATGGAGGCTTCAGGGTGCTGCTTCCCCTCCTCTGATTTCTATGTCAGGACAGTGCTCGGTGTTTCAGTGCAAAGCTGACACCAGCCCTGCCTTTCCCAGAATTGTTGTTGTTAAGTTTTGGATCTAGTACAGTGGTTCTCAACCAGGGGTCCAGGGGCCCTTGGGGGGGCCACAAGCAGGTTTTGGGGGGGCTGCCAAGCAGGGCCAGCAATAGATTTGCTGGGGTGGCAGAAAGCTGAAGCCCCACCGCATAGGGCTGAAGCCCGGGGCCCTGAACCCCACCACCCGGGCTGAAGCTGAAGCCTGAGCAACTTAGCTTTACGGGGCCCCCTGTGGCGTGGGTCTCCGGGCATTGTCCTGATTGCTACCCCTTAACGCCGGCCCTGGCTTTTATATGCAGAAAACCAGTTATTGTGGCACAGCTGGGCCATGGCGTTTTTATAGCATGTTGGGGGGGCCTAAGAAAACGGTGGCGAACCCCTGACCTAGTTTGTTCTGCCTGCAGTTTCATAGATTCCAAGGCCAGAAGGGACCACTGTGATCATCTGGTCAGACCTCCTGTGTAACGCAGGCCAGAGAACTCCCCCACAATCATTCCTACAGCAGATGTTTTGGAAAATCATCCCACCTTGATTTAAAAATGGTCAGCGATGGAGAATCCAGCACAACCCTTGATAAATTGTTCCAATGGTTAATTACTCTCATCGTTAAAATATTCTACCTTATTTCCAGTCCGAATTGGTCTAGCTTCAGCTTCCAGCCCTTGGATTGTGTTAGACCTTTCTCTGCTAGATTGACAAGCCCATTATTAAATATTTGTTCCTTATCTCGGTATTTATAGACTGTAATCAAGTCACCCCTTAGCCTTCTTTGTTAAGCTAAATAGACCAAGTTCTTTGAGTCTATCACTCTAAGGCAGGTCTAATCCTTTAATCGTTCTTGTGGCTCTTCTCTGAACCTTCTCCAATTTATCAACGCTCCTCTTGAACTGTGGGCACCAGACCTGGACACAGTAGTCCAGCAGTGGTCACACCAGTTGTGTCTGTGCTGCTGAGGCCTGCCACTTTATTGCCCCTTTTCTCTAGCAAAATCATGTTCCGATTCACTATCTGCTGAAAAGGTAGAAGAACGGTGGGTGACGTCTCTCCATGGTTTGGGACCGAGCTGCACGGCGCTCGTTTAGTCTGATTTGTACGTCTCGCAAACCGCGAGGGAATGAGCCTGTGAGGGAGGAGTGCGGATACTGGGCTGTCGGGGGTAAAACTTCATCTTTTACACTGTGGGAACGGCTGCCAATCTGTTGTAGAATGAGAGAGCCACGCTGGGAAACATCTGGCCAATGGCATTGTTGGAAGCCAGTGATTAACATGTGAGATGGGTGAATCGAGGGGGCCCATATTTGTACATCGAAAACAACCCTACGCATCAAGGGTCAGTTGCTGCTGGGTGGGTGCATGGGGAGAGGGTGCACTGTGGAGGAGACAGACTACTGCACACTAAAGGAGAGTGACTCTTTGTTCCCCCTTTGGAGGCTGCCCCACCTCAGGGGATACGAGTCTACCACAATTGCCAGTGAATGGACTTACTCCTTTAGTGTGAGGGGTAGAGACTCATGCTTAGGTCCTGGGTTCAAACCTCACTGTTGACCTGAGCAGGGCCCAGGTTCACTTATGCTGAAGGTCCTGGTGTCAAACCCGTCTGACGGCCCAACTGCAGATGGTTCTGCTGGAACTCCCTCAGGGCCAGGAGAGGGCTGGCTAGCATGCCCTGAGGCACTTCTCACCCCAGAGGGGGCATGGCTGGAAGAGAGGAGTCCAGGGCCCCATCCCTCTTCTGCACCGGCTAGTATCTGGGGCAACCACTCTGCCTGCAAAAGGGTGCCCCAGTGATCCCCACAGCCCCCCCGTGCTCTCTGCAAGTAGATAGTGCTCTCCGCAAGGAGGGGCGGCTAGCAGGGTGGATCTCACGTGAGTCATGAGATGCCTCCCCAGCACCCAGCTGGAATGTCATTTCTCCAGCAGGGCTGCTGGGGTTCCTCTGCCGTGCCTCCACTATGCCGGAAGCTGCTGTGGCAGGCAGCCCTCGGATCTCCCCTCAGACGGGCAGCTGGTGAGACATGGAGGAGCCAGCAGCAGCAGATGGACCAGAAGCAAGACAAAGTGGGGAGAAAGCATTGGCCCCCATCAGCACCAAACACATCCCACCGCAACCCGACGGCCTCCGACCCCCCTCTGGATAGCCAGCTGTTCCAGAGACTCTTCCCCACTCAGCTCGCTACCGTACCCACCCAGCCCTTCCCACAACCCAGGCTATAGGTAGAGTCCTTGGAAGGTGTACGTGTTGGGGTCCTTCCCAGGATCTCTACTTGGGGGAGTGCCAGGGATGGAGGCAATGGGCTCCTGTTTCCGAGGAACCAACGACTTCCTCTCATCTTTCACCCACCGAGCCGCCCACAGCTTGGCCCCTGGGCGGGGGAGCAGACAGGTTCAGAGGCTTGCCATGGAGGGAATGGGAGCTGAGGTTAGTTAGAATGCAAGAACCTCTTGCTCTCACTCCCGTGCCATGTCTACTAGGCCTCGCTGCTGCTCATGCTCCTCTTGGCCAGAGGATGGGCAGGCAGCTGGCTGGGAAGCAACTTGTCGCAGAGGAAGGATGGTCCAATGGTTAAAGCACTAGCCTAGGACTTGGGAAACCTGGCTTCAAGTCCCTGCCCTGCCACAGACTTGCCGTGTGACCCTGGGCAAGTCACTTTCTCTATCTCTGGTCTCCATCTGTGCAGTGGGGATAATGGCACGGTC